CCCCAAAAGAAACATTGCAGATTTTTTTGCTCTTCCAAATCTTTTGAAATTCAATTTCTCTCTTTCTTACTAATCACCCAAAATCTCTATTTTTTTTATTGATATAATGCAGACAAAATTCAAAATATTGTTCTTGAATCAAGTTGTGGGTAAGCGTTAGAATCTTGTTTTCTTTCTTTCTAAAATCTTTATTATATGTGACTTGTATATGATACATCAATACCCAAAATAATACTCAATACAACACTAATACAATTATAATATGATTACATTAAATTTTTACTGTATAGTTGTGATTGAAACTTGAAGAAGATGATGATCAAAATTTTTCAGAAATGTATCGCGATTGTATTATAATTATATATGTATCATACTTGTTGCAAGATTGTATTACAAATGTATGAGAGTTGTATATTCATTGTATATTGTTACGAGCAGTTGTGCCTTCGTGATGAATTTCACAGTTTGTATCACAAGTGTGATAATTGTATATTAATTTATTAGTATTGTATCATGTATTATTTTGGGTATTAATATACCAGATACAAGTTAAATACAATTGTGATACATTTATGTTTTAAGCATTGATGTATCTGATGCAATTCAAATATAATTATGATACAATTATCATACAATTATCATAAAATTTTAAAATATTTTTTAATAATATAAAACTATCGATGATGGTGGAAAGAGAGAAGATGGAGATTCTGGGATTAGATTAATGAATTTTGATGTAAAAAAAGGCGAGGGAAGAGGAGGGGGGGGGGGGGGGGGAGAAGGAAAGGATATAATTGAATTTATTAATTGAAGACACTAATAATAAGGTAGGATTCTTTTAAGAAGCAATGTATATAATTTGTTAGAAAAACCTAGATATTTATTAAAAACTTGAAAACTTAGGTAAATAAGTTTCTAATATAATATAACTAGGTAAAAATTCCTTATGTAAAGATACCAAGTATATTGGGCCACTCTAGTTAGGTAAATGAAGAAGCCCAAACTAAAGAGTCATCAAGCCCAAACCTATTTTACTTCAAAAACCCTAACCACACTCTTTCGCCTCTCACACTCCCATTTTCAGCTCTCAATCAAGGCAAAATGCAGAAGCTAGAAGCAACGGCGGAATCAGTCCAATGCTTCGGGAGGAAGAAGACAGCAGTGGCGGTGACTCACTGCAAGCGCGGACGCGGTCTGATCAAGATTAACGGTGTCCCAATCGAGTTGGTCCAGCCCGAAATCCTTCGCTACAAGGCCTTTGAACCAATCCTTCTCTTGGGCCGTCACCGTTTTGCTGGTGTCGACATGCGCATCCGTGTCAAAGGAGGAGGTCACACTTCTCAGATTTACGCTATCCGTCAGTCCATAGCTAAAGCACTTGTTGCTTTTTACCAGAAGTACGTTGATGAGCAGTCGAAGAAGGAAATTAAGGATATTTTGGTCAGGTATGATAGGACTTTGCTTGTTGCTGATCCTAGGCGCTGTGAGCCTAAGAAATTTGGAGGTCGTGGTGCTCGTGCTAGGTTCCAGAAATCCTACCGTTAATTTGATTTTCAAGCTTCAGTACTTTGATGCTTACCTCCTTTACGGTAATATTAAATTAATGTTTTGGATTAGTACTTTTTGTGTTGTTTAAAGACAGCTTTTGCTGGGAGGTTACTGATTAATTTTGCATGTTTGAGTTAAGGCGTTACTGTTTTTGCTGAATATCTTACACTGCTTCTTATGATATCATTTGTTGCGATTGCCTTATTAGCTCGGTGGATATCTTGTGATAAAGGTTTAATTAGGATGGTTCTGCCTTTGCAAAACCGATGAAGCTTGTCATCCAGATATTGGGTAAGACAAGCTGTACAAAATTGAAAGTTAAATGTTCAAGCTACTAAGCTTGATCTCATTTTGGATTTATTCAGATTCGGGCCTATTAATTACGTGTTTGACAGAACAGAGATAAAATACAAAGTGCCTGATTTTTAGATGCAGAGACACAACAATCAAAAAGAAAAAATGCAGTGAGAAACTGTCCCTTTATTTTTCTTCTCTTTATTTTTTCCCCGGGGTTTGTGAATGAATTTTAGTGGTGATGATGGGAAAGACTAAAGATTGCGTTGGGGTTTGAGAGGGGAAATAGTGCGAAGGGTACATGTTTTGAGAGATGTAGGAGGTGCAAGTTCTTAGACGGGTATTTGCTTATTCTTTTTAGCATGTGCTAGCTAAAGGGTATCTGGATTGTTGTGAGTCCCATTGAATGAGAGCGCTTCACTCTGTCCTGCCTTTATGATTTTCAAATTATAAAACAAATTTTATGAGTTTAGACATTAACCATACATTCAATTTGAACAATTATCAAAATCCGTTGTTCCCATCTCTTGAGATTGGATCTATGGAGGAAATTGTGACCGGAAGTATGAAGTCGAGTTAAAGGAAATAAATGGTGATGGGGATGCGAGGAAGGATAAGGGAAGAGGAAGGATTGTGTATTAAAAGCACACATGGATACTAGCATTACGTTTGTGGTGAAGAGTATAAGAGAATGATTTTGAAGAAATCACAAAAATGTTGCAAACCTACATCGATAGACACGAAGTTATGTACCTTAATTACATCCGTAGAATTGGATCGGTTGAAATAGAGGATGTAATGGAAAATATGAGGGTAGAAAAGTTTAGGAACTAGATGTTCTTCCTTTATAGGTTTGAGAGTGCCATGGAGATGTTAGAAAAGCATGGGAAGTCAAGCTATATATATTATAAATGCTACAAAAGTAAAAATAGGATTGAATGCATACATGTTCCTAGATTATTGTTGAGACACATTTGGAATAAACATTACATCAAAAGCATCAATTTGTGCTTTGTCACTGTATGCTGGTTCATGATACCAATCTACACCTTGCTTGTCTCCAAAAAAATTATGGATGAATAGGTAAAGAGGTATAAGCTTAGCAAGCTTATCTATTTTAGAACTGACATAAGCATCATAAGGTAGGAGTCATAGACCATAACATCTATCCTTAAATGATACTACTACCAAAATTCAACGATACATCTATCCTTGTTCCAATACATAAGGGGCAGTCAACCTGAAAGAGAAACTTCATTGGATTTTGGCAGTTGTATCATTTAAAGATAGATGTATATAACTCCTACGAAGTAGCAGGTCATGACGATTATGTTAGTTCTGAGATAAATAAGCTTATACCTCTGTACCTATCCATCCGTGGTTTTTACAGAACAAGCAAAAGGTATAGATTGGTCCCGAAAACCAGCATACGGTGACAAGGCACAAACTGATGCTTTTGATGTAATGTTTGTTCCAAATGTGCCTTAACAAATATCTGGGAATTCATTCATTTTTTTTTTTTACTTTGTAGCATTTATAATAATATATAGGAAGACCGGAGATGTGCAAAGAAATCCTTCTGTGTGTGCTTTGATGAAAAACAATTTCAAATATGTAGAATAACTTCTTATATGATTGAGATATCACAAGTTTAAGGCACACATTAACCATGCGTTTATCTCAAGGATCCGCCGCAAGTTTGTATTCGTATGCGTTATAGATGTGCTGACCTATAGTATATGTGATTATGTTTCATGCTAATTTCAAGTAATATTATATTAATCGACGAATCAACCTAATGTTAAAACTAGAAAGAAACCCTATAAGAAACTTGAAAAACACAATCTTACTTTAGCTTAACCGTTGTGAGAAGAATTTCGGTATGCAAGTCACACATAAGTCCAGATATCTACGCTTCGTTTATAAGAAAATAATATGGTAAATATGAAATGCTATGAGATGTTAGACGACTGCAAGTCAGAAAATTTGACAAAATAGCATGGTCTAGCCAGTTTTCGGATTAGTCATTCAAAAATAGTCAGTGTTTGCCAAGTCATTGAAAAATAGTTACTATTTTGCTGCAATAAGGACCGGTCCAGCATAATATACGGGAGTTCGGTGCACCTGTGTATGAACTTCCAGCATATTATGCTGGACCGGTATACTTTGTTGGCTCCAGTATAATATACTGGGGACTGGAGCACCGGTGCTCCAAACTCCAGTATATCATGCTAGACCGGTATATTATACTGGAACTCCAGTATATTATGCTGGAGTGTTTTTTCGGATTTTAAACAGTGTTTGCGTTTAGATTTATTTTTACATAAAAAGTGGTTAAATTTCGAATACTTTTTAAATTGTGGCTATTTTTGAAGGACCGCTTGTAAATTTGGCTATTTTTAATTTCTCCCTAGAAAATCACTATTAAGTCCAATAATGTTACACGGTAGCGATAATTGGAACACAGAAAAGGAACGTGCTACTAAAATGGTTGGCGACACTCTGAAGACTTCTAAATACGTGATTTCATTGGCAATTCGATGATTGAAGGTGTCAAAAAATGACTATCTTTCAATGATTTTTGAATCAATTATTTTTTAATTACAAGTCCGAATAATAACTTTCTTTTTTAACTTCACCCGTTTTGCCTGCAACCCAAACGCTCAAGCAAGATAAGTGTATTTCCGTAGGCATAACATCACAAAGAGGGAAGATCCAAAAAAATAAACTTGGAACAAATGCAGTTAATAACGCAATAGAAGCAAATTGATCTGTATAACCAATGCCACCTAGCTAAACCAAAACCGAGATATCTATATAGAAGTGTGTACGACGATGAAAAAAAAAAATCGGAACTGAGATCAGATATACTGGAGTAGGGCGAAATGGATCGAAACGTAGCTTATCGATCTAAATGTTCAATTAAACTAAACATAAAGTAACAATAAGAACTGAAAGCATCTTTCACGTCTCTGTAATATAAGTAAGAGCTGAAATTCCAATGTCGTCCATTTGATGTAAACATCAAACGAATTCGAGGTTTTTTCCTCTTCCAAAAAAATAAAAATTTGGAGGCTTTATCTCCCCCCATTAAGAACTTTACGAAAAATGATAACCAAATACAAATATACTTCATAAAGAAAATTTTTTTCTTGAAAATTACGTTACCCCTTACATCCTATATTCTAGTTTTGGTTACAACTAGAACACACATGAATATAACGACATTATTTCTTGAGGCTGTTTTCCTGCGTACGGTTACTCAGACCCAACAGATAATTTCAAAATGGCCTTAGCAATGATGAGCCTTGTCAATAAAACAAAATGGCACCATCAAAATTGGTACGACGTTGGGCAGTGAACAATACATAATTTTCGTCAACTTTCTTCTCGTGGTATAATCTGACGATATGAAGTTGAAACACACACACTAACAAAATGGCAGATATGCGCATGTGGTAACCAGGAAGGAAAAAAGAGAAGAGAACATGTTCTATGCAGGAGATAGAAATGGCTTCGTAGAGCTTGTTCCTTCCATCCCGAGGTCCAAGGGCCGCAAACATGGAGGAGAATAAGCATCTAGAGCCTTCCGGACATTTTCCTCCATCAACCCATCCTTCTTGTCAAGTTCATCATTTTTCTTTGCTTCCTGATGACAAATACCATAATATCAGTTGAAAATCAAATAAACTCACAAGACATAACTTTTCCCAGAAACAAAGCAAGAGTTGCCCTTTGGACCAACAATTCTAGCGCCTAAAGTGCCGGTTAAATTTTACTAGTTGATGGAGTGCATAAGACTTTGTACAAGGCCTTGGCAATTATAAGCATACAAAGAGCAACAACATCGAGTCAGTCTCTATCCAAGCGACTCCTAGTCACATTCACCAGAGTGACATCCAACATTAAAATTGTGATAAGCGAAACAGCTTAGCCTTAGATGAATATAAGTGCATCTCCTTTTAGATAAGATTAGCTAGCTTAGCCTTAGATGAATATGAGTGCATCTCCTTTTAGATAAGATTATCCTTTTCATTCCTAGTTAAGCTTATCATGCAATATTAATAGGACAGATTATCATTTACACACACCCCTAGTGTTTGCCCCAATTGATTTTACCTCGTTATGCAATTTTTCGCTTAATCTATACAATCCAACTTGTTCCAAAATAAATGATGGCAAAAGAGGAAAATGCTGGAGATTTGAGCTTAGCTCTGTGTTAGCACTTCGGGGAACACCTAGTCCTCCAAAACAGTCAGACATACTTGGCTCAATTTTGAGGGTCAAGGGACATATCTACTTCAAATAACAAATCTTTTCTTTTCAAAAAGGAAGCCCTCAAGGCTTTCTGGCAGATCGATTCAATGGAACATGTTTTCTTCAGACATCATCTTTCTATGTATTTTACCTTCTTTTGACGATTATATGATTTATTAGAAGAATAAAGCTCGAAGGAATATGTAGAAACTTTGAAAAATAAAAATCATTCACATTGATCCAGGGGTTTGTACGATTTGACCACTTTAAAGAGCTCTTATTTATTCCAAGGAAAAGGGCTGAAAAATCTCAGCAAATAAAAAGAGAACCTCGGGTGTTAGAAAAATCATTTTTTTGGTAGTGATCCACATCCTTAACTATACAACCTTTCCACAAATTCCAAGTGAGAGAGAGAGAGAGAGAGATGACATAAGATGCTAGAACGTATAGGTCAGTGCTGACCCATAAATTCAAACGAATGTACCTTGCGGTGTGTTCTTTATGCGACTTTGCACTGCTTCGCTGGAGTTCTACTTTGGGAGGGGGATGAGGGGATGGGGAAGGTCTGGAAGGTATCAATGAACAGAGTAGTTACCTGAACTGAGACTTGGTTGA